AAATGACAAAAGCTTCCAAATCACTTCACTTTTTCAAGTTTTGGCTGCAAAGAGGCTACTTTGGGTTTGCTGTTTCTGGTTTCCCCAGCTGTGTGTGAGAGGACCTGGGCTTCTGTGTCCTTTGTAGGAGAGCAATTTCTCATGATGCATGTTTGGGGAAAGTGCAGTATAAAAAGCTCCCTTTATCTGATCAGTTCAGGGGATGACATTTGTGGTCAGATTTATGTGGTATTTTTCTTAAACTTCTGTGCTGCTGTCTTCAATTCTCCATGGCTCCTTGCAGGAGTTTGGACTGTTTGGGTTTTTAAAATCTTTGTTCCTTTTTTATAGACTGTTTTTTCTGCACTGTTGATGCAAAACATCAATCATGAAGCAATTAACCATAAAATGCCAGTCCATCCTTTGCCAACCAGTGCCCCCCCCCCCCCCAAGATGTGTCGGAATACAACTATCATTACTTCTGCTGACCATACTGCCTGAAGGCAATGGGAGTTGTAATCCACTCCAGTTAGATGGAGGGAGGGTACCAAGTTGGAAAGGCCAACCCTGTTTTGTATGGTTCAAAGCTCTCTTGAGAGAACAGGATATTGGCTTATTTTAGTTACAAGTTCCAAAAACCAGAAGAATGGGTTTTTCATGTTTTGCACTTTTTTTAATTCTAAAATCCAAATTCTGCAGTAAAGGAGTAAGCTCCTTCCCCCACCCATATAAATTATGAAATGTATATAGAATTTAGGCTAAATAAGAATAGCTGCCTCCTTGGCTTCATTTATCCTGCTAGACACAGGAAAAGATAGAGCTAAGATTGAACTATTAACTCCCAATCCTTAAATTTGGAAATCTGCTCCACCAACACACACTTGCAGGCCCTTCTTAGCTTTATGGACTAGAAACTTGTTTTTTTTTTCTTTTTCAAATGAAGAACACCCCCACATTCTCAGCATCTTGAATTCTATGTTTTCTGTTCTGTTTGGTAAATATGGAGAGGATTCCCAATTGCTTCTACAGCAAGGGAAGCAAATGAGGCCCTCCAACGCCCAACACTCCTCATCAGTAGCTATCTTCCATGAGCTGATGGCAGTTAAAGTCTTGCACCTGGAGGGCTGAACTTCATTTTCTGTAGCTGAAGAACACCAGTAGGTAGTCTGCTATCCCTTCCAATCTTCCATCAGGCAACATTGAATTTCAAACATCTTAGAACCCAACTAATTTTTTCTTTCACTAGAAATGTTCTTCTATAAAGGGTTTTCACTGTAAGGAACATTCCTTCCCACTCCTGGTGATGCACTCACGATCCCTTTACTGAAGCTGAAACACAACTACACTCAAATAGCCTGTGCATGTTGTTACCTGTGCATAAATAGATTCCCAGGCTGGCCATAAATTTCACATCTCATCCTTCTGTCATTTTTGATGGAAATGTTGCCCTAAAGAACAGGGTTGGATGACAGCAAGGGCTACTTTTTTAGGTCATAGAATTGAAATGGAGGGGACTGATAGAACAAACATGATGCTGCCTGATTGGTCCAACATGCTGCCAAGAGCTTCCTTAATACTCTCCCCCAACCCTTGGTCCTGCACTACTTCCACATTCTGGCTCATGGGTTGCTGCAGGCAGCTTAAACCCAGTTGGGAATGTAATTACTATTAACTTGCAGATTTCCTTCTATTCTTTTTGTTTAATTTGTAACTGGCTTTACAAGATGGGGGTTTAATAAATTATTGGATTGCATAACCAATTTCCTGAAGTTCTTCCCTATCAGATTTTTGCTTGTGTTACCCCAAGGCTTTCCTATGGCGTTTAGCTTTTAAGTCTCATAATGTTTTTTTAAAATTTCTTTTCCATGTAAGTAATAATTGCCAAAATGAGAGTTTACCACACTTTTGAGCTTTGCAAAGAAGACAGTAGAAAGAGTTTTAGATCATCTTATCATTGAAAAGAAATGCCTGTCTTCCTTTGTAACACTTGTTGGAAAAAAATAAGCGTACAGAAAAATCAGTTGAACAAGTTGTGGCAATCTTATGCTTCATATTCAGTCCATGTTGAGATTTATACCCTTGATTCATACCTTCATATATTATAGAAGGCAAATAGCGCATATTTTCATTATACTCTTAAACAAGAAGTTATTTTGGTACAGGACATAAAGGCCGCTGATACATTTTCAGGCTGTTCACAATTTGACTAGCTTAGATGTTTTTAATTAGTATATTAACAGAACAAAAAAAATCAACCAAAATACACTTGAACCTGCAGTATAGAAACACAAAAAGTAATTACTGTAATATACTAAGTGTTAATCAGCTAAGCTTCTTGTGTGCCACTGGTTGGGATTCAGAGTCTGGAAAATGTGAAGGTGCGAAACTGAGCTTCAAAGCTAACCTAAAACACTACTGCCTCCATAAATATAAATGGTCCAAGGAAAAACAGTTTCCTCTTTGGAGCTCTATGCAATCCATAAAAAAAAAAATCTTGGAAGTGCTTGGTCTATGGACAGTGAAGCATCGTGCTGCTGTTGCCCCATTATTCTTCCTGGAAGGAGAACTTCTTTTGAATCTTGCCTATGGTTATCTAGAGTGAGATACGATCCGGAAAGACGCTTTTCCCCTTGGGCTTGAGCTCAAAAACAGTAATGGATTATCCCAACTATATTTTCTGCCATGTGGCCACTTACCCTGTTCGCCCCAGCTCTCTCCCTGGATAGGCATATCACAAGCTAAATACATTAGGGAGTAGGCTCAAAGGCTACACAGGGTTGGACAAAGAATCATTACTTGGATTCTCTATCACCACCATTTGGAAGGGCACATGTTTACCAAAAAGCTCACATCTAAGTACTAAGGTGCCCAAGCAAGCAGGGCTGTGCAAATGCTAGATGTCTTTCTATGGTGTACCCCAAAATCTATCGGAAATCCAACTGCACAGGGTGCTCAATGCATACCGCCTCAGAAAAATTGGGTGCAGGTGATGGGAAGAGAAATCTAAACTGATGCACTGCACACTTATCTGCTGAAGGCTGTCAAAACTGTCGAGTAAAACCTCAGAACAAACAATAGATAAGGAAACATTGATTTGACTATGCTGCAAACAAATAATACATTCTTGGGTCTGCAGATATATGAAGAAGAACAAACTGGTTCATCCAGTTTGAAGTGGGAAAATTAATGACAACATCCACTTGCCCAAAGCAGACACAAAACCCCATGCAGTTTTATGCTCAAGGAATAACACTTTTGTGTTGGGATCTGATAGCCATTGACTACAATTCCGCTATCCCTAAACCTACACATATCTGTTCACAACTAGGGCTCCTGGATCTAAAACCTACCAGTGTTTATTCTGCAAAACAGATTTCACAAAAAAGGCACAAGTAATCAAGAGCAAAATTTTGGCCTGCTGCAAGCTAAAGCTATGTGAGTAATCCACTAAGACAATGGAAAAGCAAAGTGTTTTAGATATGAACATGGATCTAGTCAGAAATACAGACAAAGTTCAGTCATAACTAAGACCAACAGTAAAAACAAAATTGCAACTTATAGTATGACTCCCCCACCTCGCCACCCCAATCTGCAGGACTGGTACTTGCAGTTTAATGGATCACCTTCAGACAGAATATGGCCTCTCTATGCATTTTTAGGCTCTCCAGCACATCTATGGTATTCTTGGGCAAGAAGTTCATCATTTCAAAAGGACTATTTTCTATTATCTGCAGTTTTTCATATCCATGCAAAATCTGAGAACCTATCCCACAGATACAGGAATAATACTGTATTTACCCTAGAAGCAATCCATGGATTTGAATAAAAGTTATAAACATACTTCCATGATAAATCTAAGCTAATAGCATAAACGTCTACAGCTATGTTCATATGAAGGATACTGCATGTGACCGAGCTTCATATTACTAAAACTGGAGCATGATCCTACCAAACTTAACTACTTCCTGTGGAAAAATGTGGCCAAATGCGTTTGCTATTTGAAGTGAGAAAACAACCACAATGGTCTTGGGCCAATGACAACAATTCTACCACATGGGGAAAAGGTTCTTTAGGAGGAGGTGGGGTGAGGTGAGGCAAGAGTTTCTCCTTCCATTTCTAGTCTTAGCAAAAAGCTGGGAATTTCAGTCTGCTTAGGAAAATAAAGGACTTGTGCATCCGTCTATGCTATTTATTAGACCACTATGCCACCCTATGAATATTACTCACACTCCACCCCTCTCTGAGCAGCAATCCATGTGTTATGCCCAGGAACACCTAGAGCAACAGACTCATGTAACCATGTTGCTTGCAGCTCCTCTGGCCTTCTCCCATTTATTTTCCTGTCTAGTTCAGATCAATGCCATTTCCATATCACTCTGCATATGACTTTAAAGTGCTTTGATTTTGCTAAGGACGGCTTTCCTTTCTTCTGCCTGGTTCAAGAGCAGTGTAGGCGTTATATACACTAGTGCAACATAAAATCAAGAGACATCCAAGCAGAGCGCTGGAACATGGCCTGGAAGTTACCCAAACTTTGTGGCAGGGTCTATGGGAATAAAAAGCAGTAATTTAAGTCCCATTCACACTACAGAATTATGCTGCTAGTATTCCATCTTAACCTACATGGTTCTGTCCTACAGCATCCTAAAATTTACATTTAGGATCCTCATCCAGAGAGATCCCCTGGTGCCGCCAATCAAACTTCAGATCACAGGATTCAACTGAACAGAACCATAGCAGTTGAAGTGAAATAACAGTGCTATAACTGCATGATGTGAATGGGCCCTTCATCATTTTATTATCTCTGACAGAGCTGATCTGTCAGATAAGGAGCAACTGATGCATGAAATCACTCTGTGTCTCCACATATAACTCCCACTTATCAAAACTGATGGACTAAGAAGACATATCCAGCTGATGAATGTGGACATTTCATTGCTACAAGACCTACTTTTTTGTGCGGGACTGGACCTAGAAGGGCGGTCCCACACAGGAGCCTATACTAGCATATACCACACATCCTCAGAGAACTTGAATGGGAAAATGTCCCTTAAAGGGAATGCTTAAGGTTTTTGGCCATTTTTGCTGCTGGTGGCCAATAATGGCAAAGAAGTCTTAGGAAGACATCAAAAGCCAAAAAGAGAGCCGCAAAATCCAGCTGAGAGTGCTATCATAATATCCTGCGGAGGGAGCTGCTCAAATATGTGGAGCTTGTTTCCAAAAGGTACTGAATTCCATCTGATTCAGAATAAAAAATGTGCAAAGAATATGCATTCTTTTGCTATAATGTGTCATTTCTGAGTCTTATGCCAAAGTGACTTATACATTTTGATAGTTTTGATGTGTCCCTAATATTTGACTCCTGGCACCTTTTGGAAACTAACTCCACATGTGTGTGTGTATATGTGTGTGTGTGATAAAGGTTAGGTTATCTGGCATAACCTCCCAGGGTGTGCACTCTGTCAGCAAACCTAATGCCTAGGACTCTTCCTCCCCCCTCCCCCTCCCAATGTACCAAAAGTCCAAAGTACTGTCAGAAGGTGAACCCAGAGGTTTCTTTTTGGTACATACAGCAGTAGAAGAAATACAGCACTGACTTCCAGTGTTGATATTTGCATCTGAGAAAGCTTTAAAAAGCTTTAAGCAACATTAGGGCATGCTGAAGAAGGTTCTCTTAAAATATCCTCTGAATTTCACAGCACAGGCAACCACATTTCATTTGCTAAAGGAGCCCACTGCTCAACAGCTCACCTTCCTTGGAGTAAATCTGCTGAATTCTACTCAACTATATACTGAACACAGACACTAGCAAAGCTTCCCCGTATATGAATTCAAATACATAATCCTATAAACCCAAGTAAAATAAGGAGCCAGCAAAAAGGACAACATAACCCAGCAGCCACCATAGAAAGTGAGTCCACAGGCAGAAGCAATGCACTAGCACACATCCAGGAGGGGCAAGGGGCAAAGATGCTCATGCAGCTTTCGTCATGCAATTAAGGTTACTTTCTCTCTCTCCTACTGGGATTTTAGACCTGAGACACAGATAGTGCTGTGGTGGAGCCCAGGCCCCACCTGATTCCAGACAGAACAACCAAACTCAAAGCCCACAGCCAGCATCCTCAGGCAGCCCAAAAGACACTGAATCCGCTCAGGAAGAAAACTTTCTTCACCATGAGCAAGAGGGGAAAAGGCACCATATGCAGCAAATCAAAGAAAGAACCAATTCCAGGGGCTGCAGGGAGGCTGGTGTTAAATTTGGCAGCTACCCTCTTGACAAGCCTGACATACTTTGGCCCAGGGAATCAGAAAGTCTTCCTTGCCCTGTCCTGCTTGCTTTGGCAGTCGCAGAAGGTGGCATTCATACAGAGATGACACGTGGTTGACAAGAAAAGATGACACCCTTGCTTCAAGAGCTGTGTTGAGGGTAGGGACCTACTAGCCTCATCAGAGAGCCACACATTCCCATTGATGCTGCCTTCACCAGGAGCACTGCGGGCAAACCTTGAGCTCTCTTGCCTGAGGGCAGGGGTAGCAGCAAAGGCTGGCACAGCAGCTACTGGGAGAAAATGCCTTTGAAGCGGATTTTGTCCTCATTGTCTTTCTCACGTAAGCGGGTCTCCAGGTTGCGAAGTTCCCGGGCGACCACCGGGCCCAGGGATGGGTCAAGCTGCAAGACCTTAGCAAAGTCAGCCTGAGCTTCAACTGCATTCCACACAGCTGCGTGTGCCTTGGCTCTCTTGAAGTAGGCCTTGACGTTATCTGGGGGTGGGGGACAAAAAGCATTTGAAGTAGAACATTGAGCAGGCAGGTAACACAGAAAAACACCATTGCCATCAATCCCATTTTCAAATTGGATTAGTACTTGACTTTTTTTTTTTTACTACAACCCCTAGAATTTCCAGAATGTTACACTGGTTACATTGGGTAGAGCAGGCATCCTCAAACTGCGGCCCTCCAACTGTTTGGGCCTCCAACTCCCAGAAGCTCTAACAAGCTTGTTCAACAGTCAGGAATTCTGGGAGTTGAAGGCCCAAACAGCTGGAGGGGCGCAGTTTGAGGATACCTGGGCCAGAGAATTCTAAGAGTGGTACCTGCGAAAAGCCCCCGGAGGCACAGTGGGTTAAACCCCTGTGCCGGCAGGACTAAAGACCGACAGGTCGCAGGTTCAAATCCGGGGAGAGCGCAGATGAGCTCCCTCTATCAGCTCCAGCTCCTCATGCGGGAACATGAGAGAAACCTTCCACAAGGATGATAAAACATCCAAAAAAAAATCTAGGTGTCCCCTGGCCAACGTCCTTGCATATGGCTAATTCTCTCACACCAGAAGCAACTTGAAGTTTCTCAAGTAACTTCTGACACGACAAAAAAAACCTGCCAAAAAGTAACTTTTCTAATCTTCAACATAGATCAACCTCAGGGCTAGATATGTTGTCTACTGTTTGGATTCTTCAACTACAATGATTCTCCTCTGCCCTTACACAGTCCCCCTCCTAATCTAACAGTGAAGTCTTGATAGACTAACACAATTCCACAACTCCCTGTTTTTTTCTTTCTACAGTAATTTCCAGCTCTACATTGACAAAAGAGACCCCTTACCTTCATACTTGTTGAGAATGGAAGAACAGTGATCCAGCACTTCATAATATTCATGATTCAGCAGTTTACACTGGCAATAATTCAGCAGCAAAGGGGTGATCTGTTGGTCCAGCTGTATCCAGTCAGGGGACCCTGGCTGTTCCTGTGGTTTGGGAGAGGAGAGGGGGTAGGGTGAGGCAAGCACAGACGAGTTCAAGGAGTTCCCTATCTGGACAGGCACAGGGAGCTTGCCACAGGGAAAAAGTGGGTTGGACTGGTTAGCCCTCACAGTTTCTTCCAACTTTATGATTCTATGAAAAGAAGCCACCAAAGCAGCAGGGCTAAACAAAGCATTTCCAATTCACTCCTAAATGGACCAGGGGATGAGAAAGGCAGGGAGTTGCAAGACAGGATTTACAGCACAAGGTAGAAATCAGTCCTCTCCACCCAATATTCTTGGTCATGTCTTCCCTCTAACAAGCATTAACATTACAATATACTTTTCAGAAATGTTTTGGCACAGGGGGTTAGCAAATATGAAGTCTAGACTATGAAGCTTAGAAAATAGAAGGGGACACAATTCTGATTGTACACAGAATTATTAAAAGTCTTTTTTAAAAAAAAATCAGTTTTTCTACTTTGGCAAAAGTCCTGCACCCTTAACTTCTGCAAAAGTAGAGTTTAGTCATGAGAGCACTTTAGCAGTCTCAGACCACAGAAGATACCAAGCTAGACAAGACTTTGTATGGCCCGATACAGAGCGATGGTGGGCTTCTGAACTTTGTCAGAAATTTGGAGAACCAGGAACACTAACTATTTCTCATATCACATCATAGTATTGGACTGAGGAAAGGTGCTACTCTTTCAATCCAATTATCTCAGATTGGAGGCATACTAGAAGCACTAGAGCAGGCTTTCCCAAACTGAAACCTCTAGATAACTGTAAAGACAACTCCCATCAGCTCAGGGGATTAACAAATATGAAGTCTAGACTATGAAGTTTAGAAAATAGAAGAGGACACAATTGTGATTGTAAATAGCAGGTCACTGGTCATGGCTGATTAGAATCACAGTCTATGTGAAGAGCAGCAGCCTGGGTATAGCAGAATCAGAGTGTCAAGAAAGAATGGCTTATATGATTTGGCAAACATCCTCCAAAAGAATGAGGCTGGTGGTAAAAATCTTCTGAAGATCAGGAGACTGAAAGAAAGATTGTAAGAATATTTTGGATTTGATCTGTCCATTCTTTTGGATACCTTTCTAACACCTTGGATTTCTATTATGCTTTCATACTAAAATACACATGTATAGACCAATTTAAGTTGATATCCCAGAAACTGCCCCCTCAAATCATTTTCTGCATCCATTTTGAATGCAGATTTCTGTGATACAAATTCTGAGAAATGTTGATGCTACCATTCAAACTTTTGTTTCATTCAAATTCAAAATTCATAATCAGTCTAGACAATACCAGACATTTCTTGTAAAGAGGCATTTTCCTGCTGTAAGGAAGAGTTCTCCTTGAAGTAACAAGCACAACAACTACTAGGTAGGAGCCCTGCTTATGCCAAATTCACCACCTCCCATCTCATTCTGTATTTCTTCCACAATGTGCAGACAAAAATGAAGTTACAGCAAAGGTTGCTGCAGCAGACATGCCTTCAATCACCTTCATTTGCAGGTTCTTGAGGCAGGCGATGGCATCATAGTACTTGGCAGCTGCCTCCTGCACTTTGCCTTCCTTGTAGAGCTCATTGCCTTCCTGGTGGATCAGAGGAACAGCCTTCAACTTCTCCTCATCAGACATGGCCCAAGGGTCCTGACGGTAAGAGCCTGGGCTTTCCACCTGGCAAGGCACAACAGCAACACATGCTGGGATAGATCACAAAATATAAATGCCCCACACAATTCCACTGGAGCACTGCAAAAACCAGCCTGACTTTCCATCCTGACCATCCCAGGCCACAACACAGAAGTAGTATCAAGAAGAGGTTCAAAAATGAGAAGGAACATGAAGGTTCTCATCTCCTTGTCCAAAGACAGAAAACACGCTCCCCTTCCTGCAATGCAATCCTTCAAAGGGCTAACTAAATCGTCTCTTCTACTGACATCAAGAAAAACATGCTGAGAACAAGACAGACTACATCCATCCAAATTGTCATTTCCTCTTCCAGGCACAGTCATACAATCCAAATAGCCAAAGAAACGCCCAAGACCCATCACCCACCGGAGGCTTTTTATCCCACAAGACCTCACCTTTCCTTCCCCCTCACCTTGAGCATCTCAATGGCAAAGATGAGAGGCTGGGGATTTTGCTGGAGCTCATCGAGGTCTGGGTAGCCCAAAGAGTGATGCTCATGCATTTGAGCAATACCACAGCAGTGCCTTTGCCCCTCCAATGGATCTTTCCCAGCTGCAATATTCCTCAAGCTCTTTGACACCATTGGGTACAAGACTACATGCTACAAGGAGAAAGTAAAAAAAAAAAAAATAAATAATTGTTGTTGCAGGAGAAGAATCTGTGGTACCTACTGCTAGTCTTCCACATTTGTGAGTTCAACTTTTGTGGATTTTATTATTCACGCATATGATTAAAATGTTATCTCTAGGAATATCTAGATGCTACAGTGCAATTATATGGCCAACGTCTGCAGGAAGCTGGTCATAGAATCATGCCAGAGGACCTAGAGATTCCTTGAGAACACCCCTGTACAAATCTGGTGAGATTTCATGGTCAGCTTTTGGTGGAAATTGACCGTTGTGCTGTGCTGGTGAACCTAGAAATTCCTAGAGATGTTCTCTCGATAAAGGAAAAATGTGGGGATTTTATGCTTCTAATTCCAGTAAACGTGGAGGGCTAAGTATAGTTTGTACAAAAGCCATTTGGAACATATTTTGAAGAGAAAAGCAAAAACCAGACAGGGCTCCTGTATCTAAAAGTCATCTCAAAAAACTCTAGAAAGGGTCAATATTCTGCACCATTGCAACAGAATCACCCCACCCCCAAAAGCTAAATTCTCTGAACGGTATAAAAATAAAATAACTTTGCATTACTTTAGTATATTTTTATTCTGCAACTACAAATCCTAAAAAAGGTAACAATAGAAACGCAGCTAAGAACTCTTTAGAAAATCTGCAAAACTATTCTTCCTATAGATTCTGTAGTCTCACCAGGGACTGTACATGTTTATTGTTATTAAGGCATCTGGAAGGGGGTAAAAAAGAAATGCACTATTCATAAAAGAAAAAATTGACATAACATTTAGAAGCTGATGAATCCTATGTTTAATATAATATCGTGTGATTTCTACACTGTAAGAAGTTCCATGGAAGCTGAGTGCTTTTATGATGGAGGTAGTAAATAAATTAATCCGAAGTGCCACCTGGTGGCACAGCGGGTTAAACCGCTGAACTACTGAACTTGCTGCAAAGATTGGTGGTTCGCATCTGGGGAACAGGATGAGCTCCCGCTGTTAGCCCCAGCTTCTGCCAACCTAGCAGTTCGAAAACATGCAAATGTGAGGTGATCAATAGATACTGCTTTTGCGGGAAGGTTAATGGTGCTCCATGCAGTCATGCTGGCCATATGATCTTGGAGGTGTCTATGGACAACGCCAGCTCTTTGGCTTAGAAATGGAAATGGAGATGAGCACCACCCCTAGTGTCGGACACAAGTAGACTTAATGTCAGGAGAAACCTTTACCTTTACTTAGTAAATAAATACATGTTTTCATTTACAAAGCACTCCGGATGTGGAAACCATTTTGAAAAAGGTAAGAAATTCTCATTTTGTAGATGGAGTACCATGACCCAGTAATGGCCAGCTATCCCGGGAGCAGTCAGAAGAATCAAGGATTTTAGAGGCTTTCTCAAATTCTCAATGATCAATGATGACATAGCCGTAATGAGGATTACCTTGGTGTCACACAAGAACTCGGCTATCTCTCCCTCCCGCATGGTGCGCAGGATGGTCTCCCAGACAGGCAGCTTGAACTTCTTGCCAATGATAAGCTCCATAGGTTTGTCGCGTGTACGACTGTCATCCAGCACTTGCTCGTCCGTACTGCAGAGCAGAGTGCGGTAGTGGAAGGTAGCCTGAAAAAGGTCAGGAAGCAGAGCTATAGAATAAGGCCTCTGCAAACACCCAGAAGAAGAAGAGTAAAGATGGTATGCAGTAAATAGAAGCTGGCATCAATTCATTGTTCAACTGGCAGAGGTATTAATCTGATATCCAATCTGATGGTCAATGTGATGCCAAAGTATCAGAACATGCAGCTGAAAGATTACTTTCTCCATCTAACAGGCAGGTGGTTTGACCAAGATAGACCACAAGTATATGTAGATTAAAGGCCCAATAAACAAATGGGATAACATTTGGGGACTGAGATTACAGGCATACAATTCGAGAAATTCTAGAAGCTGTAGTCCAACAAATTATTTTCCAAGTTCCACTAAGTCAGTGGTTCTCAACCTGTGGGTCCCCAGGTTTTTGGCCTACAACTCCCAGAAATCCCAGCCAGTTTACCAGCTGTTAGGATTCCTGGGAGATGAAGGCCAAAACATCTGGGGACTCACAGGTTGAGAACTACTGGCATACAACTCCCAGCCAGTTTACCAGCTGTTGGGTTTTTCTGGGAGTTGAAGGCCAAAACATCTGGGGACCCACAGGTTGAGAACCACTGTACCAAGTAATTGTACGTTTTATTGATTAGCCCATTGACTGTATCAAAACATTTGACAAAACTAAGTGATTATATCAGTCTCTGTATTGTGCAAAGTGCAGGTGTGGTGGTGGGGGACTTACCCATCAGAGTGTTCATATTACTGACCAGTCGCAAACTACTGATTTAGAAGACATTGTCATTCATGAAGCTAATAAACTATTTGCAGCAAAGTAAAATCTTCTCAGAGGTTTCCATCTGGAGCTCCATCTAAGGCCCCATTTACACTGCCATATAGTGCAACTTGAAACTGCATTATATGGCAGTGTAGATTGAGCCTCAGTTAGAATAAAGGAGGAAAATGAGCATTACATTAGGGAAGGTGGCAGGCAGACTGGAAAGAAACTCAGATGATATTACCAGTAAGACTACATCTGTTTTCTACTACAGCTGCCCACTCCTTAGTTTATCCATGGGACACATCAAAATCTACAACCTTGGCCCCTAAACCTGCCCTCAGCTTGTACATGTGGTCAACTTATACATGAGTATACAGGCAGTCTCTGAGTTACAAACATCCAACTTACAAATGACACCTAGTTAAGAACGCAGGTGAGACAAAAGGAAGTGAGAGCAATCTATCCCTCGGAAGGGAAATTCACTTTTGAAAGAGTTATCATGGGGAAAAGGGGTCTCCACTGATGCTTTATTACCAATCCTTGTTTCTATAACAAGTCAAATTTTCAAAATCCAATGATCACAGGGGAAATCTTCTGAACAGGGACACAGAAAGCAAAACAAATGCCACAGGGATGTTAACACTTCCCTATACTGTCCAACGCTAATATACAGTATATATATATGTATGTGTGTGTGGCTGGAGATACACTTAAAAATGTACTTGTTCCAACTTACATACAAATTCATGCTAAAAACAAACTTACAGAACCTATTTTGTTCTAAACTTGGGGACTACCTGTACCTTCAATTTGCCAGTCAATGTATGGCAACCTCATGAATTTCCTTGGGTTTCTTTTTTTTTTCAGGCAAGGAATACTAATGAGGTCATTTTGACAGTTTTGTCCTATAAATATAGTCAACAGCTCTTAATTTAAAGGCAGTATAATCCCCATATAGAGCCCCCGGTGACTCAGTGGGTTAAAATGCTGAGCTGCTGAACTTGCTGACCAAAAGGTTGCAGGTTCGAATCTGGGGAGCGGCCTGAGCTCCCGCTGTTAGCCCCAGCTTCTGCCAACCTAGCAGTTCAAAAACATGCAAATGTGAATAGATCAATAGGTATTGCTCCGGAAGGAAGGTAACAGCACTCCATGCAGTCATGCTGCCCACATGACCTTGGAGATGTCTACGGACGACGCCGGCTCTTCGGCTTAGAAATGGAGATGAGTACCAACCCCCAGAGTCGGACACTACTGGACTTAATGTCAGGGGGAAACTTTTACCTTTACAATCCCCATATCCAAAGGGGATGCATTCTCAGACTTTGCATGGGCATACAAAACCATAGATAAGAGTGAACCCTATTGAAATGAAGGACTTCTGTCCCCAGAATACCATAGGCATGCCGAAGGATCTAAAAATGTCAGATATATTTTGTCAGAGGTGGACCAATCAAAGTACAGATACTGGTCCCACAGACAGAGGGGCCATACTCTCCTGCTATAAATAGAGGACTAGCGGGAGACCTTTCAGTTCTAAGCCCAACATTTTTGCTTCATTTTTCCCGCACTGAACTGTTTCAATTCTAGCTGGGATGGGAAAAAAGAAAACCAGCAACATCTGGCAGCATTGCAGTCAGTTTATTTAAAGCAGGGGTCCTCAAACTTTTTAAACAGAGGGCCAGATCACAGTCCCCCAAACTGTTGGAGGGCCGGATTATAATTTAAAATTATTATTATTTAGGCGATCCCTCATTGTCCAAGTAGGATAATCCTCCAGGGTGGGTCCGTAGGTGACTATGGAACCTTATTCTTGATAATTTGAAATAAACATTAATTCCTATGCACACTGCACATGTATTATTTGCAGTGCAAAAAACCCCACTTAAAACAATACAATAATTAAAATGAAGAACAATTTTAACAAATATAAATTTATTAGTATTTCAATGGAAAGTGTAGGCCTGCTTTTGGCTGATGAGATAGGATTGTTGTTGTGTGTTTTCAAGTAATTTCAGACTTAGGTTAACCCTGAGCGAGGACCGAGTAAATGACGTTGGAGGCCTTATCCAGCCCATGGGCCTTAGTTTGAGGACCCCTGATTTAAAGGAACATTCAAAACTTGTGCCCTTGTTTTCTGCCCATGCCACTATGTGTCCTCCCTCTTTGTCTTGTGATTTTGTAAAAATTATGTTTGAGAGCAAGAATTGAATTGTTTTTACTTTTCTGTAAACTGTTTTGGGAGCCTTTTCAGCAGAAGAATAGGAAATAGATACTCTAAATCAGCTACAGCTTCATGCTCACAACTGCTAATTTAAACTCCAGTTCAGAGGTGAATCTACACTGCAGAATTAATACAGTTTGACACCACTTGAACTGCCATGGCTCCACACTATGGAAGCCGGGATTTGTAGTTTAATGAGGCACCAGCACTCTTTTAGCAGACAAGACTCAAGACCTTGTAAAACTACAACTCCCCATGACGCCATAGCATTGAGCCATGGCAGTTCAAGTGACATGAAGGAGATTCCTCTAAACTACAACCCCCAGAATTCCACAGAACATTGGCAACGGGAAGCGACCTTGCGGGGCCCGACGTCATCTCAACCCTCCTAATTCCTGTAACCATAGCAACCTAATTTGTAGGCGTGGTCTATAGCGAGAGTCCCATTCTCTTGAGTGGCTCTAATAGAAGAGCTCTCGCCCAATCACAATCTAGGAAGCACACTCAATTTCCAGGCTCGAGCCTGGCCTGTCCCACCCCCGCCCACAACCGCCCGTGCGCCTGCGCAGTTCACTCTAGATCTCTCGGCCGCTTTTATTCGCGCATGCGTGCTTGTCCTCCTCCGCCCTGTTCCGTTATCTCCTTGCCGAGAAATAATCGCCCGTTGTTTTTACCTTGGTGCCATCCTGGTAGTCGGGCAGTGGCCCATTGCCTTCCTGCACCACCCGCTTCTCGATCCCATCTGCTCGGAGCTCCTCGATTATGTCCGCCATGATGGCTCCCCCGCTCGAATTCGGCTTCGTACGCTTCGATTGCTCACTGATGACCGCTTCGGCTATTTCCGGATGTGTTCGGTCATTTCCGTATCCGCCTTCGGCCCGATTGTTATAGTTCGGGAGCTTTCGGGGAAACTCGGGGGCAGCGTTTCATGGAAGGCTTGGAGCACCATATCCCACCTCAAACTGACGCTGAACCACAAAGAGGTCTGGCAACAAACTGCTGTGGCAACAATCCTATGGGGTCCTGGGATTTGTCGTTGGTCAGAGGCACTACTAGAGCACTTTGGTTACGCACTTATCCAGTGCGGAGCTCCATCCCAGAGAAAATCGGGCTATCTCCTATTGGGTTTTTGCCTAGCCTTTAAAAAGAAAACATTTTTGTGATATGGCTTAATTTTATTCAACATGTTGAGAGCCCCATGCAAGTGAGTTATGCAAGCGTGTTTTTACTACATACATGTTTACAACATGTTGAGAGCCCCATGCAAGCGTGTTTTTACTACATAAATACAGTTCATTTCAGCAGAAGAAAAAAGGATAAATATTATTTATTTTCCCCAGACCTCTTTGTGGTTCAGCGTCAACTTTACAAATTGTAAGAAAGGCAGACACACCAAATAATTATGGTTTTGAGAAAGAGGACTCCAAGAATTACCAATGAAAAAATCCTACAAGTATTCTATTGACTTCATCAGACTAGAGGAAAAAATCCACTTAAAATCCAGTTTCTGCCTCCTACAGAGTTATGGGGTTTGTAGTTTAGGAAGGAGGCTTGAACAGCCTCACTAAACTACAAACCCCATGATTCTACAGGAGGCAAAAACCGGATTTTAAGTGGATTTTTTCTCTAGTGTGATGAGTTCATATCTTTCCCTTGAAATGATAGCCCTCGAAGGCGCACTGTCCAGAACTACATACAGGCAGTCTCCAAGTTACAAACACTTCTTGGCAGAGGGTTGAACTGGATTGCCCACAAGGTCTCTTCCAACTCAGTGATTCTATGATTCTAAGAAAGATTTTGTAGGTTTGCTGAATTTGTTTGTTGGAACAAGTACTGATGACCCCCCAGGTAGCAGAATCTCCCGCCTTCAAGTTGGTTTGAACCGCAGCAGGGAGTTCCGCAGTTCCGTAGGGCAAAGTTGGGTCCGACTGATGAAATGTGCCCCAGCCAGCAGCTCAAAGCGAAGGACTGCATGAAGCCTTTCTTTCACTTTCCCCTCTCCCTCTCTTTGTAACAAATCCCTCAATAAAACACTTAAGTTTTGAAACTTTAAATCCTTTCCGCTTGATACTTTGTGTCCTTTTACTGACTGCAACTTTTCTAACCCACAATAAACCTTTTTCTGGGCTCCGGGGAACCGTGAGCTCACTGGGGACGCCTTCCTGGCCTCCCCAGGCCTCCGAATTTGCGTTAGTTCAAATCGTGGATACGGAGATTTTCCTATTGGCCCCCCTTATCCGCCAAAACAACAACATGGCGGATCGGGCCAGTTCAAATTTTATATTTTTCTACACTAACTTCTAAGACTAACTGCTATCCTGGCTTTCTCATTTTGGACTCCTGCACTCGTGAAATAATTGTTTTTTGTTTAATCATTAAATTCGGCCGAGCCACCAGCTGATTGTCAAATTCACCGGCTTTTGCCGCTTGCTTCATTCCCCCCGTCGCTCCTCGCTCCAGCATGGTTCCCGCCGCTGGGATCCACCGCCGATTGCCCAAGGGGAAGCCTTGGAAGTGGGGATCGGGCAGGGAGGCCCGATCCCCGGTTGGGAGCGCTAGTTCCACCAAGGACGGGTCCGTGGAACGTAGCTCCCCCTTCAGCTCCAGCTCCTGTTTCACAAATGAACTGATCTTCTGATGGCCAGCCTAAACCATAGGCTGGCCCCTGCATCCAAACCCCTCCGTCCGGACTTTCGGGACTTCTTGCTTTCTTCTTTATGAAATAAATAAAATATTTTCTTAAAATGTAATGGATGTGGGTTGGGGTGGGTGATGGGTTGTGATACATGAAATGCCTGTATATGGATGATGCCTGTATTTTGTAATTATGAAATATGTATCCCTCAATGAACTCCCCTGTACCTTCACCCCCTTGACCCCTTACCCCATAAAGCCAGCATGACCAGGAACTGCCTGAGGGAAAGAGCCCAAGCCTCTTTCCCCCCAAATCACCCATTGATTGACTCATTTTGCATGGACAATGCTGCTGGCCCCCGACTTCGTCATCGGAGCAAGGCCAACGAAGGAGGGTCTGGTCAGCAGGGCCCCGGAAAGAAAGGACTGATTAAATCACCCAGATACTGTTGATCCTCCGGGCGGTCCGGTATCGATCCAGCTATTCATATCACTCGCCAGACTCATTAAGAACAGGAAAACCTTTGTTTGACAAACATCACCCTCTTCCCGCCTTGGACAATGGCCCGCATTCCAGCGGGCAGGAAATCCAAATCCCATCATCTTTCCCCTTTGTCTGCGGCCATCCCGCCTCCGTGCTCCTGATTGGTCCAAACTCAGAAGCGAGCAGAGGGCGCCCATTGGCCCTCCCGAGGCGAGAATGCGCTCCCATTGGCTCCTGACAGGGGAGGGCTGTCAAACCTCCTCCCAGCTGTTCCAGCCTCAGCCAATCAGCGTGAAGCTGGCCGGTGAGGGGAGGGCGGGATTTTCAAACTGCTTTCCTTTGTTCTACACTGTATAAAAATGCCTGGAAACTCTTTTGCTGCATGCTTTGCAGTGGAATGATTCCTGTATTGCATCCATTCAGCTGAATCGCAAATAAACGCCTCGGTCGCTGGACTCCTTTCGCCTGGTGAGCTTATTTGATTTTAATTATTTTTGGCGCTCTTGGATTGGCTTCCGGAAAAATCTCACCAAGGTATCCAGGACTCTCTTTGGTGCGGTCCTTGGGCTCTCCTCCCTGGAGGGGCCCCCCAAAAGAGCTCGATATCAGTACATCTTTTAAGTGTAACTCCAGATTTGGATAGCATAGGGAAGGGTTGACATCCCTTTGACGTTTGTTTTGCTGTATGTGGCCCAAGTTCAGAAAATTTCACCTCACTTTCTGTCCCTTTTGAAAAAAATGGCTTGTTGTGGAGAAAGCTTCAGTGGAGGCACCTTTTCCCCATGAAAACTCTTTCAGGAGTGAATTCCCCTTCTGAGAAGTAGATTTCTCTTACTTCTTGTTGTCTCACCCCCGTTCTTAACTAGGAGTCATTTGTAAGTCGGATGTTTGTAACTCAGGGACTGTCTCTATAGCCATTTTAACTTGATGTACTAAATCTCTTTTTTGTGCTATTATTATTGTCATGGGTTTTCTTTTATATCAGAAACACTATTTACATAGTTATTGTTCTTATTTAAACACACATTGGTTGCTATGTCAACTCTGCCTTATGGCAAGCATCTCCTACGGGTTTTCTTGGCAAGATTTATTCAAGAGATGATTGCCATTATCTTCCCTGCAGCCTGGAAGAAAGTTACTTTCTGTGGCTGGATAAGGATTTAAATCCTGGCTTCCCACAGATCTAGACCAATGTTCAAACTATTATGCTACCCTGATTCATAAATGCTTATAAAACACCTATATTTCTGTAAGAATTGCCCGGAATCCAGACATTAAAAGGGGACAGTCTTTCCATGCGGGGTTGCAATCTCATAGACCCGATATGAAAGGAGAATATTAAGAGGAAGAAAGAGAAAAAAATACAAATGTACTTCAGATAGACTCTGAGAAAAAAGTTCATTTTTACAACATCTTATTTGGATAGCCATGAATAAATATGTGAGAGGAAGTCATGTGGAGGAGGAAGCAAGCTTGTTTTCTGCTGCCCTGGAGACTAGGACGCGGAGCAATGGCTTCAAACTACAGGAAAGGAGATTATACCTGAACACAAGGAAGAACTTACTAGCTATGAGAGCTGTTCAGCAGTGGAACTCTCTGCCCTTTAGTGTGGTGGAGGATCCTTCTTTGGATGCTTTTAAACAGAGGCTGGATGGCCGTCTCTTGGGGTGCTTTGACTGCGATTTTCCTGCTTCTTGGCAGGGGGTTGGACTGGATGGCCAGTCCAACTCCAACTCTATGATTCTATGTGTGTATTGTAAGACTGGGATAAATGACTTGCCAGAACACACTGAACTGGTCTTCTGTTTTGTGAAGTAGGCACATGCCCCTATTCTTTCCAATTTATTTTTGCCACTTCAATTAAAGACATGACACCCAGGAACACTTTGTTAACTGAGATATGATCTTTCGGAGTGAGGACATGGAAGACAGTCTCCACAGGGGTAGGCTTGACGTACCTGCCTCTTGACATGTTTCTCCCTTTTGCCCTCCATTAGTACCTCTTTGAATTCCACAACACTGTTGGTCACAGCTGGCCTCCAGCTAAAGTGCTTGAGGTCCAGGGCTTCCCAGTTCTCAGTGTCTATGCCACTGTTTTTAAGGTTGGCTTTAAGCCCATCTTTAAATCTGTATTCCTGTCCCCCAGCATTCCGTTTTCTGTTATTGAGTTGAAAGTATAGTAACTTCTTTGAGAGACAGTGATCGGGCATTTGGACAACATGGCCAGTCCAGCGAAGCTGATGGTGGAGGATCATAGCTTCAGTGCTGATGGTCTTTGCTTCCGATCCAGAATAAGTCTCCAGAGTCACTTACGGACCCACTGCCTTGTGATGTCCTATGATGATGATGTGATGATCTTTGTGTAAAAGTTACTCCGTCTTAAAGTGATGATTAACTGAATACAGAATATTGTTACAGTTCAGCTTGGTTTTCTGATTTATGTCTACTGTTTTATGTCCTTTTTGTTGTTAAAGAAAAAGGGAGAAGGACAAAAAGGAAGATAAGGTAGGATTGGGGCCATACTATGGACAGAATTAGTTCATTAAACTAAGCAGAAATTCTCGCCTGATTAGATTGAAGTTGCATGTTTATGAGTACCAATTCCAGGAGAAATGGTTCAGCAGACAGAGGGCAGCAGCATATAGGCAGTTAAGTATTGATGTTTAGATGTAGGGATAAAGGGGAAGTAACCATGAAATAGTCTCTAGAACATGGCTCTAATGCCTCTAGAACATGGCTCTATAGCCCGAAAAAACCCACAAGAACCTAGTGATTCCAGCCATGAAAGCCTTCGACAATACATGAAATAGTCATTTGGGCTCTTTTGGCCAAAAGAATACCATGAAACTAATGTACCTTGTAAACACTTACATTTGAATAATGTTACTTTAAATGGTAGGTGTGCTGAGTGAGGGTGAAAATGGTTAAAGAAAGAAAGATTATCAACTGTCTGTCGTGGCTCTTGTTGAGTAACTCCGTTTTCTTTTTTAGCATTTTCTTTGGAAAGTCAGTCCATGGGAGATTTATCATAATTAGCATCACCACGACAGACACTGTTTCCCAGCCTTTCTTCAGCAACATGCAATGACATGACAGCAAGTGACATCTTTGCCAAGTATTTTCTGCAGGATGAGTTTGCTGTCAGTAGCTCAATGCTCAGCAAATGAACATTAATATATCTAGATTATATCAAACTCTTCAGGGACGGTCTCTTGTGGTATAATACAGGCTTCTTGTATTTGCCTGCTTTGCTCTTTCACTTAAGGCTTCTATAATACCTTCTTTCTCAAACAGGTTTTGTCCATGAACAAGACTGCAATTTCATTAAGTCTGATTTAGTCATTGTCAGTTATCTGGTTATGTGAGCAGTTCTGTTATCCCATTTGGACTGTTATTATCCTTTGCTAATGAAATGTACTTCATTGCCAAACATACACACAAGAGAATGGCTTGTATATCATCAGTGACATCTTAATTGCATTGACTATAATTTCCAAATCTGTCCTTTGGTTTTTTTTTCTCACAGTGAACTCCATATTAATAAACAAATCAAGCATTCCAATTGCCAGCCAGTGCCTTGACAATATTCTCTTTCTGCTATTGATTTCATTGAATAAATACACTTGTGTTTTTCTGCTTCTAGACTTCTTTCATTTTAATTGTCTGCTCCTCTGAGAGTTTAATATAACCACAGCCCAAGACATGTTGCTGCCTGAGGCAAAGGACAAGGCAGCACTCTTCTTATATACATAAAAATGTAATGTTCGTTTGTGGGATGCACATAACTCAAAAACCACTGAAGGAAATGACACCAGATTTGGTCACAAGATACCTACTAACCCAAGGAGTGACTATCACTCAAAAAATCACCAAAAACATAGTGAAAAGAACTTCAAATCCAAAAAAGGTAGAAGATGACACAGAGCATGTGCGCAAACATTCTTTGGCCCTGCCCCCACCTGCACAAGGACACAGCAAGCGCAAGAGGCACCACCGACCATCCTCCCTCTTCCAGTCAGAAAAGGAGCTAGGAACGGACGGCACAATGGTGGGTCCGGTGAGGGGGGAGCCTCATCCGCCGCCAGGGAAGGAAAGAAAGAGGGAGGGAAGGAAGGAGAGAAGGAAAGGAGAGAAAGAGGAGGAGAAGAAAAGAAGAAAAGAGTGAAGGAAGGATGGAAGCAAAGAGCAAACGAAGGAAAGAAAGAGGTAGAGAAAGAAGAAAGAGAAAGGGAAAGAAAAGGGAGAGGAAGGAAAGAGGTTGAGAAGGAAGGAAGGAGAGAAAGAAAGAAAGAAAGAAAGAAAGAAAGAAAGAAAGAAAGAAAGAAAGAAAGGAGAGAAAGAGTACAGCTTGTCTGGAAGCTGAATCCTACTTCGATTGTGACCAAACATCTGAGGCAGCAGGGCCGTAGCCAGAAAAAAATTTCGGGAGGGGTTGAAATTTTCGGGGGGGGGGGGGGTTGAAAATTTCACGCGGGGTGTGTGTGTTGAAATCTGCTTCCTAGCTGAAGCCAAGAGCACAGCTGCAGGGGGCAGAGCAGCCTTCAATAGCCTGCAGCTCCACCCATGTCAACCACCTCCACCAAGTATGACCTCCTTAATGAGAGCATTCAACACTGACCTCCTTAATGACCTCCTTCAAGTCTGACCTCCTTAATGAGAGCATTCATCCCCCCCCCCCCCAACTTGGTTGCTTCGCTACATCGGCTACTGCTGCAAGTAATGACAGTGTGAATAAATTGTCAATATTTGCTTGAGATAGTGCTTGCAGTTCTGGAGGGACTCTTAACTTTTTGCATCTCATAGACTTAGCATGGGGATTTGGTTAACCAGTTAAAATTCATGAGTAAACCAAGTTTTTAAAAAAATCTGAAACATTTCGGGGGGGGGGTTGAACCCCTAAAACCACCCCCTCGCTACAGGCTTGGCAGCAGGTGACTTTCAGGGGCTCAGAACAACTCGTGGCTGGATCTGTAGATGGAAAGTGCTATGGATTGCAGAAGTAAACAAGTAGTCAATTGCTAGTAGCCAGGCAACTGTGCTGCCTGGGGCAAATCTACTGAAACTCAAGCCAGAAAGTAAAATTTCTCCCATCCCTACTGCTAATTGCTGCCCAGGGCAATTTGCCCTCTGCCTCTTCTTGTTCTTCAAGTCCACCATTTCACAAGCTTCATCTCATTCTGGGTTGGCATTGGTTTCCTGATATTCATAGAAAACACATCTCCAGACAGTTTTCATTTGCTTAGAGAAGGGATAAACCCTTTATGACCAAAAGAAAAGGACCCATTAAAGAAGGGAAATGCTGGTCCTGTAGAGAAACTAAAAGATAGTATAACTGCTTCATTAAGGCAGAACTGAAAAGAATGCAGGCCTTCTGATGTTGCTGAGCTGCAAACTCCATCAATCTAAGGCTAGATCTACACTGCCATATAATCCTGATTATCAATGCAGATAATCCAGTCTACGGCTGGATCTACACTGCCCTGTATCCCAGGATCTGATCCCAGATTATCTACTTTGAATTGGATTATATGACCCTACACTGCCAGATAATCTGGGATAAGAAGATAATTGGGGATCAGATCTTGCGATATAGGGCAATGTAGATCCAGCCTAAGTCAGCACAGACAATAATGAATAATTATGAAGTTTTTGTCTAATAATTTATAGAGGGTTATACAATTCCTGTTCCTGGCCTAATCCTATTGTTAGACCCCATTGTTAGAGCAGACCTAGTGAACCATTTATGAAACGGCTAGCTAATACTAATAAAAATCCCATCATTCACTACATCTACTGTAGTTGGGACTTGCAGTAGGATTGAGACTGAAGAATCATTACCCCTGATTGTTTCCCCCAGTTCTTTCTAGTTTAATCATTTCTTCCCTATTACACTCGGATAGTGGATTCTGTTTTTAATAATTAACCCAATTATTTATGTGCAAGAGGAGACAGGATGATTATTTCCAAGCTGGGATGAGACATTTTCTCTTTGGGTTTCAATCTTGGGGTAAAGAAAGAGTGTGTGCATGTGTAGGTGTGCATACCACTTGTATCTTTTGCAAGAGGACAGCTCCAGTAGGGGCTCCTGGGTCTTTACCTTCTACTTACTTGTATCATAAATACCGCTTACAACTCAACACACTACTTCTGGAGAAGTCTTTCCATTTTGTCTTGTTGGGCAGGTAAGAGCAGTGGAGTGATAGGAGGGGCACATTAAGGAGAACATCTATGGAGCATTTTAAAATGAATTACCCTCATTTGTATGCTCTCCTTGTTCTGATAAGTGATTGAGGCATTATCTACACTGCCCTATATCCCAGGATCCGATCCAGATTAATTGCTTTGAATTGAATTATATGAGTTAAGCAGACAATTTGGGATCAGATTCTGAGATATAGGGCAGTGTAGATCCAGCCTAGGATGGTAATGAAACTTTTGAGTTTGGATATTGTTTGTGCTGAATTAATATAGAAGAAGTCAAACCATGAAGAATAACAACTTGTTGTTTCCTTTTATTCGATTGATTTACTAATTTATACTAGCAGTTTAAATAATAGCACACCTTTTATTAACACATTAGTGAAAAATTACCTCCAACTATCTTATATTTTATTCTTAAAATCTACTTCTCTGTGTTTTATACATCGATTACATTTCGTCTATATACTTAACTCATATTAATTAATAAAGCCAACACTCATTGAATCACACTTACTTTAAAGAAATCAATTGGGTTTCCAATCATTCAAAAACATTGTGATTCTTCTTTAACGAAAATAGATTTTCCATTTCTGCTAAATCATTATTTTAATAGAACGAGCCATAATGTATTTTCCATTTACGCTGAAATGAGGACATGACTACATATTCTTCTACAAATGCAGGAACGAAAGGCTGACACTTTTAAATTTTCCACCACACACTTGCAAAAGCCTCTTTAGAAACTCTTTATAATATCAGAATTATCTGCTCATGTATCAAGAGAGAAATTACCTAAACATTTGGAGATCCTCCAGATGTAGGTCAGGAGATAGATTGATATTATTTTTTGGACTGGGAATCAAGATTACATAGGACAAGGGGCACTGCAGAACCCTAAACACCATGAATGGGCAGTGCTACACAGTGAATGCAATCCCTGCTTACTGGGAAGCAGCCTCCGCAGTCAATGGGGATCTGTTCCCTTGTTGATCGGGAAGCAGCTAAGAACTGTTTCTACTTCCTCCCATAAGTGATTCTGTGAGGGGCAGAAAGAGGAATAACTGTCACTTTTGCAAAGGAAAGACAGGACTATCAGGCAGCTGCTTCCCAGTTGATAGGGAAACAGATACCCATCAATTGCACCAGCTGCTTCCCAGTAAGTGGGAATTGGGAGAATTTAATGGTCCCTACTTAGCCTCTAAACTGCACAGGGATCATGAAAATGCAACAGTTACAAGGGTGTAGTTCCAATTTAACCATTTGTAACTATGATAGAGATTCTAACTCAATTTTCTTATCTTCCAGCCACTACTAACATCTGCTGCTTCTTCTGTTATGTTTGCAGATTAACATTTACAGTTCTTTTTGACATGCCAAAAATGACTGAGTCTTATAAATGACTAAACTTAGATTGAGTCAGGGTGCTATATGTGTCCAAATACATGCGTTTATTTGTATCTTTAATAGAAATGATTTCTGCAAAAGAAAGCATTCAAACAGATACAGCTTGTCCTTCACAGTTGAAATGTTGCATCTCCTCAAATTTCCCTCTTGGGAGAAACACTGAAAGCCCAGGACCTTAAGCATATGACTCTGCAGAGAATGCCTTTCTCAAAGAAAAAAAAATGAAAAAAATGCATTGTGTAATTGCTGTTGCCCATCTAGGATTAAGGGACAGATGCCCAGCTCCAGTATTGGTAATGATTAAATCCTGAACTTTAGACCTGACCAGTTAAATTTATTATGTCTTCAATTTCTCTCTCAGTTTCCCTATTCAAAGAAGCTTTCTGGCATTACCAGATCAGCTGGAAAGTAGCCCCATTCACATATATGCACCTAGTTTGTCCAATGCATTGTTGGATGGGTGTTAACTGCACAGAAAGCTTGGAAAATTTACTTTGGTGATTATCAGCAATGAGGGATTCTATGGAGTCAGAGTTCAAAAAGAAACTTTTCTGAGCTCTTGGTTTTGAGAAATGTTTTCCTTGCTTCCTCCCTTGAATGTGCGCATGAAAGAGGCTCCTGGTCCTAGGTGGCCATTGTGGCCTCAAGTGTTTGGTTTGTGGTCACATTTCCCAGAAAAATGCTGAGTCTATTAATAATATACACTTTGCTTGGCAAAACACCAAGATCAAGAGGGATCACACCAGGACACATGGAGAGGAGGGAAGAAAGATCCATGGCAACCACCTGAATATGTTGAACTTAGCTTTGTGTGGTTAGCTCTCTTGCTTTGAGAACAGCAATTAAACTGAAGGAGCTCTTTTGGTTTCTTCCCTTTCACCTCTCCCAAGTACTTTCTAAAATAACAAAAACATGTTAATTGGAGATAAGAAGCACTCTAAGCGGGGGGGGGGGGGGATCCACTTTTCCCTTTCATTTAGCATGGATCTAAATACAACATTGCAAATATGGGGCAAGGAAGAAACTATGGAATCTCTTGTTGTGAGAAAAGAAATAAGCAAACAGCATAGAGTTAATGACTTTTGCACGGGCAGCAGGCTAGCCCATGGGGTGTAGAGTGCATAGAGCTCTGTACTCTCTATGATCTGCCAACATCCTTCCCACCTGCATCTACTGCCTGAAATAGCCGTTTCACCATATTCAATTGTAGGGCAGGCTCTGAGTGTGTTATATATGCTTTATCCCAGGTATGGATAAACTTGGGCCCTCCAGGTGTTTTAGACTTCAACTCCCACAATTCCTAACAGCCTACTGGCTGTTAGGAATTATGGAAGTTGAAATCCCAAACTTCCAAAGGGCCCAAGTTTGCCCATGCTTGCTTTATCCTGTTGTACTGATTGTGAGCTCTTTGAGTACACACAGATCTATTACTAGGCAACTGAAGTTATCTGACCTGAACCTGGGAAAGTTATAAGTCTAAATTCTCTTCTCTATCATTTGGGATGTTTGCCTCAAGGAAGATGTGCATTGCAATGCATTTCCCAGTGCCATCACCCTTTTGTCTTCACCTTCAGAGCCTGTAGAGGCCCAGTCAACCCATAGGATGCTGGTGTTAGGCAGCCAGGATGAGCTGCAAGTGCTGAAGAAAGAGCTGAGATGTTGCTTCCCAGAATCTCTGAAGGTGAGATCGGGCTTTTCCTTGCTCTTTTCTGGAACAGTTTAGCACCCCAGTAGGTAAACCTGTGGCCATAGCAGTCACAATACCTCTGCCACCTGAGCAAGGTATCCCATCCAAATGTTTCTGCGAACATCATAAGAAGGCCAGTCTGCAACACCTTCTCATATTATGTCCTAGATGACAGTCACAGAGCACCATAAAATGGATTCTGGGTTCAGTTCAGTGTAACCAACTCCTCCAGATAACCACTAGTATACTTGGCTCTTACTCAAAAATCTAAACGTGAACTTGAAAATGTTAGACAGTCAAGGCACTTATTCCTGGCAGTGGTACTTTGCAGAATATTAGCCCTAGCTCACCATGATCTTGGATTGACAATGATGGGTTAAAATGACACAAAAATCACTTATAAGCCAGTTGGGAAAAAACAATACAAAACAGCATCAGTCTTTAGTGTTTCTGTTGTTGGGATTAGGACCTGGGAAAAGTTACTTTTTTTGACCACAGTTCTCTCTTGTGCTATCTGGGAAACTCTGGGAGTTATAGCTTAAAAGAGAAAAAATTCTGGATCTCTGTTCAGGATAAACACACATTTCTCCTGTCCCGTTAGGTCTATGGAGCTGTGCTGAACATCTGCCAGGGAAATGCTTTTCATCAGGAGGTTCTGGTAGATTCCTGGCCCAACTTTCAAGTGGTTATTGCACGGCCCCAAAGAGAGGTATTGGTGGAATCTGTGTATCTAAGAACGTGTATGGCTTGATTTTTTGTCATTTGAACAGGTAGGACTTGATGCTTGAATTGCATGACTGAAGAGGCATATTATGCAGCTCTAGGTAGTATGAAAGAAGACCAATGGAGGAAAGACTAAGGCATTTTCAGTTATCACTGTGTGTACAGATACATGTACATTCATAAGTTATAACGAGCATGCACCACACGCCACCCAGACTGACACAAAGGAACTGTTCTGATATCAAGTCCACTACATGTCAGCCTGAACCCCAATACAGAGCCAACACAATCCTATCTTTCTCTGTAATGGTGGATACATGGTAAACCTAAAGAACCTTTTTTTAAGATCCATCAAATGGTGCCTGGGATGTTTGGAGTTATAGTGCACAAAGTAACTTCCCCACAGCTATGGCCTAGATCAGAGGTTCTCAATCTGTGGGTCCCCAGGTGTTTTGGCCTACAACTCCCAGAAATCCCAGCCAATTTACCAGCTGTTAGGATTTCTGGGAGTTGAAGGCCAAAACATCTGGGGACCCACAGATTGAGAACCACTGAGCTAGATAAAACACACATTTCTATAGTGGCACAATTTATGCTATTCTAGTAGATGGGGCTGTTGCAAAAGATAAAATAAAGTTAATATTTACTGGGTTCCAAAATAAAAGAATTCTGGGTTGAAGAATTTGTTCTGGGTATTGTCGAAGGCTTTCATGGCTGGAATCACTAGGTTCTTGTGGGTTTTTTCGGGCTATATGGCCATGTTCTAGAGGCATTTTCTCCTGACGTTTCACCTGCATCTATGGCAAGCATCCTCAGAGGTAGTGAGGTCTGTTGGAATTAGGAAATTCTAGCGAAAGGAGGAAACTTTGCTGTAACCGCCACCAGGATCCCAGTAGAAAACATCATTGCCAATGTTGAATCAGCAATTTATCGCCTCCCCGAGGAGGAAGCAGAAGAAGTACGAGCAGAAACAGCAAGGATCCTGAAAAAGGCAAAACTTCCCTCCAGTAACATTACTAGGAAGGAAAGACAAGCCATCAGAGAACTGAATTCAGATCCTGATATCCTCGTTATGCCAGCAGACAAGGGGAATGCCACAGTAATCATGCATACAGAACAATACAAGGAGAAGATCAGAAAACTCCTGGACCCTACTATATACAAAAAACTCAAGCAAGACCCAACTGCCAAAATAACCAGGAAAACCAACACCCTGATTAAGAACTCCTCAATAAACTTTGACATACGACAACAGCTATGTAAATCGGAAGCCCATCCACCCAGGCTTTATGGACTCCCAAAAATCCATAAGGACTCCACCCCACTCAGACCCATCGTGAGTGCCATTGGATCCCCCACATACGACCTAGCAAAATTTCTTGCTGCACAGTTACAAAGCCATATTGGGCTCACTACACACTACATCAAGGACTCAGCCCACTTCATAGAAAAAATCAGCAATCTCAAGCTAAATACCAACGACAAACTGATCAGCTTCGATGTGGTATCTCTATTTACCATGGTCCCGGTAGCAGACACCATGGCACTCATCAACCAGAGGTTCCCAGAATACATCATGGCTCTGTTTCACCATTGCCTCACCATCAGTTACTTTCAGTGGGACAATGAATTCTACGAACAGAAAGATGGAGTAGCTATGGGGAGCCCTCTCAGCCCGGTCATAGCTAACTTCTACATGGAACACTTTGAAAAACAAGCCCTGGAGACAGCAACCAAAAAGCCCACGATATGGTTCAGATATGTGGATGACACCTTCACCATTTGGAGCCATGGAGAAGAAGAACTCAACAGGTTCCTGGACCATCTTAACAGCATCCACCCAAACATCCAGTTCACCATGGAAAAAGAAAATGAAGGAAGACTGCCTTTTCTAGATGTCCTAGTCATCCGTAAACCAGATCAACAATTGGGTCACACCGTTTACAGAAAACCCACACACACAGATAGATATCTACATAAAAACTCCAACCATCACCCAAGTCAAAAAAGAAGCACCATTAAAACCTTGGCAGACCGTGCAAAAAGAATCTGCGAACCCCACCTCCTCCAAGATGAACTGAACCACCTCAACTGGGCTCTCCAGGCCAATGGATACTCCACCTCAGACATCAGAAGAGCTGCAAGACCAAGAACAAGCCACGAGAGTAAAGACGAAGATCCACCCAGAGGAAAAGTGTTCCTGCCATACATCAAGGGAACCACTGACCGCATAGGGAATCTGATGAGGAAACACAACATACAAACAATCTACAAACCCACCAAGAAAATCCAACAAATGCTACGTTCAGCAAAGGACAAGAGGGATCCTCTCACCTCTGCAGGAGTCTACCGTATACCATGCAGCTGTGGACAAGTCTACATAGGGACCACCAAACGCAGCGCCCAGACACGCATCAAGGAACATGAAAGGCACTGCAGACTACTTCAACCAGAGAAGTCAGCCAGAGCAGAGCACCTGATGAACCAGCCTGGACACAGCATATTATTTGAGAACACAGAAATGCTGGACCACACCAACAACCACCATGTCAGACTACACAGAGAAGCCATTGAAATCCACAAGCATGTGGACAATTTCAACAGAAAGGAAGAGACCATGTAAATGAACAAAATCTGGCTACCAGTATTAAAAAACTCTAAAATTACAACAGCAAAACAACAGAGAGGAAACAACCAGGCACAGATTAACACCTCCCAGCAAGAGATTTTCCCAGGCTCAGGCAGGCCTTCAAATCCAATAATAAATTGGATGAAAGAATTTAATTTATGCGATGTATGGAGGACAAAAAATGAAACAACAAGAGATTATACCTTCTTTTCAGAAAGGCACAAAAAGTGGTCTAGGATAGACATGATATGGCTGTCAAAATCTCTGCTAATAGAAGTTAAAAAGATAAAAATCTATGCAAGAGAAGATTCAGATGACAGCCCTCTAGAATTAGTTTTAAACGAAGGAAAAAAAGGATGGAGATGGAAATTAGACGAAAATTTACTGGCAAAAGAAGAAGACATAGAAAGAAACAGAGAAATCATGAAAGAATTTTTCGAAATAAATGACAAACCAGAAACACACCCATTCACAGTGTGGGAAACTAGCAAAGTGGTAATGAGGGGATATTTTATCCAACAAAAAGCGAGGAAGAAGAAAATAACAATACAAAAAAGGGAGGAAATTAGACAAGAAATTGAACAGGAAGAAGTCAGACTAAAAAGAAATCCAAAAGAAAAAAAGATAAAAGAAAATCTTATATTACTATATAAACAAAGAGAGTTTCTGGAAATGGAAGACAGAGCAAAACAATTAAAATATATTAAACAGGACTACTTTGCAAATGCAAATAAACCGGGGAAGTGGTTGGCAAAAAGGTTAAGAAAGAAAAAAGAAGCATCGTATGTGACGAGACTGAAAGAAGGGGACAAAGTCTATACAAAAGAGGAGGAAATAAGAAACCAATTTAGGAACTTTTACAAGAATCTATATAAGGAAGAAAAGATAAAAGCAGAGGAGGTAACAGAATTCTTGTGCAAACAGAAAATCAAAAAAATATCAGAAGAACAGAGAGAAGAGTTAAAAAGGAAATAACAGAACAAGAAATAAAAGAAGCTATAAGAAATATGAAGACAAACAAAACGCCAGGTCCAGATGGCCTAACAGCCATATATTACAAAACTTTCCAAAACGAATTAATACCCTATCTAAAAAAAATCATGAATGAAATAAGACAAACTAAGAAGATGCCGGAAACCTGGAAACAAGCAACCATATGTGTGATTCACAAAGAGAATACAGACCCTGATAATGTAAAAAACTACAGACCTATTTCTCTTTTAAACCTAGATTATAAAATATTTAGCTTCATAATTGCAGAACGGTTGAAGAAATTACTAAGTAAAACAATAAAAGAAGATCAAGCGGGTTTTTTACCCAAAAGAAATCAAAACCAAAACGTGAGAACAATAGTGGATTTAATCGAATATTATGAAATTAAAAACCAAAAGAAAGTGATGCTATTGGCTATCGACGCAGAAAAGGCGTTTGATAATGTAAATTGGAATTTCTTGAAATTTTTAATGAAAGAATTAGACATTGGCTACTACTTCCAGAACATAATAAATGCCATCTATGAAAAACAGGAAGCTAAAATATTGATAAACGGATATGAAACAGTAAGCCTAGAAATTCAAAGAGGGACGAGACAGGGATGCCCCTTGTCGCCTTTGCTATTTATATTAATCTTAGAAGTTCTAATGGACAAAATAAGAGAGGAGAAAGAACTGAAGGGCATGAAAATACAAGGAAAAGAATACAAAATCAAAGCATTCGCTGATGATCTAATTTGCATTGTAGAGGATCCCCTGGAAAAATTAGGAAAGTGGTTAACAACAATATCAGAGTTTGGATCAGTAGCAGGATTTAAAATGAATATAGAAAAGACGAAAGCATTGACGAAGAACATATCAGCCAAAGAACAAAAGAAGATTGAGGAAATATGGAAGATAAAAATTGTGCAAAAATTAAAATATTTAGGGATTATACTGACAACAAAAAATTTACATTTGCTACAAAATAACTATACAGAAACATGGAAGAAAATAAGAAAAGATATGGAAAATTGGAAAAGTCTAAATTTAAGCCTATTAGGAAGAATAGCAACTGTGAAGATGAAGATACTACCAAGAATGGTTTTTTTATTTCAAAATCTGCCAATAATAAGAAATCAAAAATTACTGAAAGAATGGAATAAAGACATAATGAATTTTATATGGCAAAAGAAAAAATCAAGAATAAAATTTAATAATATGATTGAAGAAAGGAAACGAGGCGGCATGGGAGTTCCAGAATTTAAGACATATTTCGAAGCATGCGCTTTAATGTGGGTACGGGAATGGTCAAAATTAGAAAATGAAAAATTACTGAATCTCGAAGGGATAGACTTAAGAGCAGGATGGCACCAGTATTTGTGGTACGAAGGTGTCAAAAAAGAAAAAAAGTTCGGCAACCATTTTATACGCTCGGCTATATATAAAATATGGGAAAAATACAAGAGAAAAATCTGTGAGAAAACTCCACTGTGGATTTCACCGTTAGAAGCCGTACAAAGAAGGGAATTAGGATGGAATGATTGGCCGAAATATAAAGAATTGGTGAAAAAAGAAAAAGGTAAAATAATCCTAAAAACTCAGCAAGAGATGAAAGAGACCAACAGGAAAATTTCATGGTTTCAATTTGGCCAGATAAAAGAAAGCTTCAAAAAAGATGAAAAGATTGGCTTCGAAGAACAAACAACATTCTGGGACAACATAATGCAGACGGGAAAAAAAAATAATAACAAAGATATACAAAAAATTAAGAGAGTGGAATAAAGACCCGAGCGAAGAGAAGGATTATATGAAGAGATGGAAAGAAAATATTGGAAGAAATATAAAAATTGAGGAATGGAAGGTAATTTGGACGAAGAAATTAAAGTATACGTATGCAACAGACCTCAAGGAAAATTGGTTGAAAATGGCATTTAGATGGTATATGACACCGCACAAATTAGGCAAATGTTACAGTAATGTCAATACAAGTTGTTGGAAATGTAGAAAGAAGGATGGCACCCTGTTTCACATGTGGTGGACATGTGATAAGGCAAAGCTGTACTGGAAAAAAATACATGGAACAATGCAAAAGATGTTAGGAATAAATATCCAATTAAAACCAGAAACATTCCTGTTAGGTATGACATCATCAAAAATGGAAAAAAATTTGGACAAACTACTATTTTTACTAACAACGGCGGCGAGGATGTGTTACGCAAAATTATGGAAAAAAAAAAGAAATACCAGCACTAGAAGAATGGTTACAGAAAGTCTATGACATTAGAAATATGGACAGACTTACATTTTTAATATCCAGAAGTAAGGATAATCCGACACAAGAGACAGATTGGGGAAGAGTAACCGAGTATTTAAAGGAGATAAAATATAAAACAATAGTTTAAACAAAAGTAAAGATCCCTAGAAAGAAGGAAAGAGAGAAGACTACGGCAGACGAAAGGAAAGGAGACAGAGAAAAGGAATACACCTTCACCAACTTACTCAGGAAGTCACGAAGACCTGCGTGTTTTTTGTTTTTTTTTAACTATTATTTTATTTTTTGCTTTTTTTCGCTACAACTTCCCTTCCCCTTTTGGCCTCCCCCCCTTTCCAATTCCCATTCCTTTCCCTGCACTACTTACCTGGAGTTCTTTTTTTTCTTTCTTTCTTTCTTTCCTCTTCCCCCCCTTGTCTCTTTTTTGTTTTAATTATCTCACAGAAAATTCAATAAAACATATTTTTAAAAAAATGCTAATGAAGGTGATCAGCTGAAACATTCACACCTAACTGCAGCAGGGAAGAGCTCCTTGCCCCACCCCAGCCATTCCACAGATATATAACCCATTGTCCTAATTCCAACAGACCTCACTACCTCTGAGGATGCTTGCCATAGATGCAGGCGAAACGTCAGGAGAAATGCCTCTAGAACATGGCTCTATAGCCCGAAAAAACCCACAAGAACCTAATTTGTTCTGGGTCTTCCAAATGAACCTAGTTTACAATTTTTCCACTCTAAATCTACACCTGGTTCTAACAAATTTTCTTCCATTCCAGCAATATGATTTAGGATGAAGAGGATCATTTTATTACTGTCACCAAATAAAATTGTGTCACAAATCCTTGTGTGTGTGTGCAAAGTCATGATCTCCTCCCAACTACCCTGTATATTCTCATCTAGAAAATACCATTGGAAACCAACTACTTCACCCAGTCCTATGCAGTTTTCTGTAGGCTCCTGAGTGCCTTTGAAGAATTGGTTAAAGATACTGATGCTATCGACTGGAAACAGGAATTTCTACTACAGGGTAAGATGCATGGATATCAGCACCCAAAGTTGTATGTATGTGGCAATTACACTAATCCGGCATTTTCAAAGTTCTTGTGGTGTACTATGCACAGTTAGAATCTTTAAATGGGCATTTTCCAAAGAATTTCAGGCTCTGAATACATATATTAAATTATCATCTGTCTTGTATTAATGGAAGAAATCCCAGTTTCACTATGTACATATGTCTTCAAGTCATCTGACAAGTTGTGGAGACCCCAGGAATTTTATAAAGTTTTCTTATGCAAGGACTATTCAGAGGTAGTTTTGCCAAGCCTTCATCTGAAATATAGCTTACAGCCTTTATTATTCATTGACAGCCTCACATCCTAGAACTATCCAGGACTGACCCTGCTTAACTTTCAAGACCAGACAAGAATTGGCACCTTGTATCTGTTAATTATTGTTGAAGATTAAATTCTGTATTTGTTAGAGCAAGGATTCTGTGATGGCCATTCTTTTGCCTGAGACACAGCATGGTGTTGAGATCTTAGTGTTGGACTGTGACTCGAGATAAGGGTCAAATCCCTGCTTGGACTTGGAAACCCACTGGGTGACCATAAACAAGTAACGTGCTCTCAGTCTCTGAGGAAGGCAAAGGCAGACCCATTGTGAACAAAGCCTGCCAAGAAAACCTGCCATTACTAAGTCAAAAATGACTTAAAGACATATCTATTTTGCCTTTCTCTTAATTATAATGCTAATTGAATGTTAGAAGCACCTCGGCTTTTTAAAAGGTTCACTATTTTGGTTTAACTTTCAAGCCCTTCCCCACTAACACTCCATTTTAACTCTCTCTTCCCTAGCTTTGCAAGTCAGTGTGTATCAAAGGTCCCGGAGCCTCGCTGCTGCCAGGTGTTCTTCTGCAAAGTTGTTGACTCAGACCCAAGTTTTTATTCTGCAGAACCCATCACATTTGCCGGCTGCTGTAGCCAGGTACACTGATCTATGATCCAGGGCTTCTGTGGCACACAAGCCAGAGTGCAGGACAGCTGCTAAGGGACTAAGTGATGGAGACTTCTCTCTTGAAGTCCATGGTGATTGGGGATCTGTAGCAGGGGGATAAAATAGAAAAAGAACAAACTCAAAGGAGACTTGTATGGCAGCTTTGTAGAATGGCCATTTTCAGGGAGCAAGCATTAGCACCCCTCCCCTGACAGGAATGCATTTCAAGGGGAATGCTCCCCTTGGGAATGCACCAAGAGTAGCAGAGAAGTTTTTTTCCTCTGTATGCCAGCATATAGGAGAGGTGTTGAAACAACCAACTAACTACTAAGGCCAATCAACATTTGTAGAATCACCCTAAATTTTCTTTGCAAGACTTAAGATGAAATGTAGTTCACCATTCATAGTACATGACTTCTCTGCATAACTCAGAGCACAATGAAAAACAACTGTGGATGAGCAACAGAGCAGAACACTAAAACAAAGACTTTCCTTTTGAAGAGGTCAACACTTCCAAAACATTTGATCTCCAGGCTGTGAACTAGCCCCACTGCATCTACTATACAGTACTTATACAATTTGCGCCATGCAATTATCTCGAGTCGAATTTTTACTGATACTGTGCCTTCCAAGTAATGCTTCAGCTTAGAAGAGGTACTTGACCAATTCACTCAAGAGTCACAGATGTTCTTCCATTGAGTTCTGTGGTATGCTAGAGCAGGCCCATTCTTTTGAGTGCAACTCCATCAGGAAACTCTCAAAATTCTCTTACCTCGTTTGGAAAAATCGCCTGTGTGAGAAGTCTGGAACAAAGGCTTGTTGTTCACTATGTAAGAAAAGATTAAGAACCAGACTGTTCTTAGAGGACGTCTAGATTCTATTTTAGGAAAATGACATTTTTGTTGCTTTTCAAACTCAAGACTGGTGCAAGGTCCACCATTCCATTTCAGTCGGCAACCCTGGCAGAATTGAACTTAGATGTTGAAGTGCCAACTTGGTTGGCTAGCTGGCTTCTGACATTTCAGTAACATATGACCCCATCAGACAGGCAAAATTGCCTGTCCTGCAATACTTGGACTTCAGTTGAGGCATGGAGTCCAATGGCTGCCAACATATGACATCGATCTATTTCAAGCGGGGCTCTATGTCTCTTTGGAAAACAACACAGCTATGAAGTCCAAGTGTGGTAAGAGGCCACTTCAGCAAGACAGGCGGCTTCCCATGCTACATGGGAAACAATGGGGGGAAGCCAAGCAGCGACATTTCTCCCTGTGCGATGAGGTGAGGTGAGGTGGAAGGCTAGCCAGGTGTGAAGTGCCAGGTTCCCACAATCTCCTGGCCACAATGTGACAAGGTCCTTAGTTTCACAGCGGTAAGTTTGTTTTAACTGTCCCTTCTTTCTTCAGGTCTGGTTCAGAATTGAAACTCTCATCCCTCAAAATCACTGATGCTGCCCTGCTGAATGAGACGTGGAGCGTAGGGGGAACTGAGCAGAGCCTGCAGTACTTATCTCAGCTAATCCAATGCTTCCCTAGCTGTTGTCTTCTGGATGCCGGAGGATGCCCAATTTCATGGGTCCTTCTGGATCAGTTTGGGAGTTTGACCCATGCTTACACCATGCCTGAGCATCGGGGCAAAGGCTATATTCAGATGGCGATAGCAGCATTGGCAAAGAAGTTACACAGCATCGATTTTCCAGTGTATGGAGATGTTTTGGAAAACAACACAGCTATGCAGAGGGCCATGAAAAACATGGGAGCCCACTTCACCAGTTGCTCTCTGCTTTACGACCTGTATACCCCTCAGGCCTCTGTAGACGCTGGCTCTCCAAATATTCAAAGAGTTATATCAGAGTCAACTCTAACCTAACTTCTCCAGGCACTAAATCCCAAACTTTAGCCTCATAGCCAATCAGGTAACAGGTATGCTCAGTAAGTTGCTGAAATGTTCATGAAAAGCCTCTTAAATTAAATTAAATATGCCATTTGCCTATTGCTGGATATTGAATGGTTTGAAAAGAAGTACATTGAATGGGCAACTTCCCTGAGGTCCAGGGAGAAGGAAAATTTCTGCCTTTGAATCCTTTAAGGACCATTTTGAATGGATTCTGAAGTGGCCAGAAGTCTAATTCTGGTTTTTTTAAGAAGTGCTTTTTAATATTAAAAAGGGCAGTCTACCTATTTAAAGACCAAAACTAGTATTCCTAGAGGCTTCTAGGTGTTACAAATTAGCTTAATATTTGTTTAAGGGAGGTGGTAGAGATGAACATTACAAAAATAATCTAAATATATACATGTACTTATACAGATCTCACTGTTCAACACAGCTCTTCCAAAAGCATACTAAATTGCATGGAGCGCTGTTATCTTGCAGTTGAAGCGGTACCTATTGATCTCACATTTGCATGTTTTTGAACTGTTAGGTTGGCAGAAGCTGGAGCTAACAGTGGGAGCTCACCTCACCCCCCAGATTCAAACCGCCAACCTTCAGTCAGCAAGTTCAGCAGTTCAGCTGTGCCACTGGGGGCTCATGAACACATACATACATACATGTTAACTCTACATCCTGATACATACATGTTAACTCTACACATTTGTTCATTAAACCCATGTGTTCATATACTTGCATGATTTGCTTTACCATTTCTGCTTTTCTTTGACTCCAAAATGCAGCAATCACGAAAGGCCTGGTGCAAGTATGGTATTATGTTGGATTTTTTTTTTCTGTGTCAGAAGCAACTTGCAGTTTCTCAAGTCGCTTCTGGTGTGAGAGAATTGACTTTGCCCAGGGGACACCCAGATGTTTTTACCATCATTGTGGAAGGCTTCTCTCATGTCCCCGCATGGGGAGCTGGAGTTGACAGAGGGAACTCAACCCGCTCTCCCTGGACTAGGACTCTGGAAGACCAGGATTGCAAAATACCAGGACAGGGTCACTGTAGTTGGAATCAACCTGTAGGCACATATCAACTGCCATTTAAGCAGGCCCTAAAGTAGGGATCAGAAAACTACAGGCGACCACTATTGCTGCATTTCAATTCAAGTCAGCCCCCAGCATCCTGATCAGTGGTGATAGGTGAAGAGAACCATATTTCATTGTCAGTTGCAGGTAAAGGACTACAAAAGCATCAATATGTTACTGGAAATGTAACTACTTTCTACAAAGGGTAAACAACAATATATATGAATACCTACCTGAAGGCCATGAACCTCGAAGTAAGAAATGAACAGCACAAATAATTCTCTTTGACACAAAAAAATATTTTCTGGCAGAGCTTAGTTTTTAAAAAGTTGTTCCTGTTACACTTTTCTTTATTTTCCAATTATTACTCCTCCTCCTCCATACCCATCTGCCACTCTTTATTACATTGCTTGTTACAGCTGAAGGTTTTTATTTGTTTTAAGTCAATGGAAGTAGTAAGAAAATGGCCTAAAATTGAGGGGGGAGGCATACCTTCACCAACATCGCCAAGGAATGAACAAGCATTACCAGTTCCATGAAAGAAGCAATGACATTAGGAGTCATTTCTGAAGAAAAACTACCATTATACCATTGTTACAGATAATCATTTCTTGTAATGAGTAAATAGCGCTTTTTTTTTTGAGATGTTAGCATGATGGAAGACAGAGGGAAGTTGTTTCCTTAAGAAGTGAGAACGAAAAGAAGATGCCTCTGGATAGAAAGTGAAGAGTCAGCAAGCGCAGCCAGCACATCACCGCGAGGACTCTGTTCTTTTGCATCCACTGGCTGGTTGGACCATAACACAAGTCTAGATCAATGACATTCTTTATTAACATGAAAAATGCTAATAGGTCTTTCCTAAGGGCATACTGAGTCAACTGGCCACATTCAGCACTGCCAGTGGTTTCATAATCATGCTTTCAAGTAGCAATTTTATCAGGAACATTCACCTTTTGTAGAGTCTGAGATCCAAGGGACCATATTTAACACATTTCAAATAACTCTGGCAGAATATCATTTTTGGAAGACGATTGCTTACGCATAAATTCTGTAGAAAAACTAGATGTTTCCCAAGTGCTCCAGTACTTCAGCTACTAAACACTGATCAGCACATTATGGCCAGAAAAGGTCAAAGTTCACTGCTATCACTAGTGTGCAGCTCCTCACAATAGGAGGAAATGGGCGAGTTTTCTCCCCAGTACCATAAACCTTCGCTCTTGAATGCCTGCAGTAACTTGTGAGAAAGGCTGCCTAACTTCCTAGTTGAAGAGCTAAACACTTTTCCATGAACCTGGCACTATAGAAAAGTACTGTCTTCCTGTGCCGGCCACTGGGAGCCAAATTCCCCTCAGCTGTGTGTCTAGGAAAACATAGAGACACTCTCCCAATCTCCTTGGTTTTCCTTTAACAGCCCTAATAAAGTTAAATTTGCAGCACAGCCAAGAAGGACTTGCCATTTAAATTCTAGGCTTTTGAATCCCGAGTTGCATTATGTCGGAAGGGATGAAGGCTTAAAAAAAAAAAAAAACTTCTCTGGGAAGACGAGAAAAATATTGATCCTCTTTCCATAAATGAACCCAGAGGGCCGTGATAAAATACGCAGGACTCAATGAAATCCCATTCTACCTGGAATCTTTTCTTTCCAGGGGAGATACAGTAGGAATACACCAGTTCATAGTAGCCTGAGGATGGGAAGGCCCCGGGAAGGAACAGTCCCACCTGAACACTGGGAAGACAACAGAGCCCTTCCTCTCTCCACCAAAGAGCACTTCCCTCTCTCAGAAAGGTAAAAAACTGTCCAAATTCACAAGAGAGTAAGTCACTGTCTCCACACCCATTTTTTGTCAATCCATGGCCCTGCCTCCCTCCACTGATCTAAAAGATGAAAATAAAATTCTTTCCCACAAGCACACCACCCTTTGCATTCGTTTCATTAAGTCATGCTCATAGCCAAGTCCATTTCCCAAGATTAAATGATTATTTTTTTTAAAAAAAGGAACTGTATAGAAATCAACACAATGCCATCATCGCTGTGCATCTGGAGCGGCCGCATGAGGCCCGGGACTCAGTGGAATCTCTTCTCCTCCCACACATACCGCTTCCCTGCAGGCACCTTCCGGAAAAACAGACTGTTCCCTCGGCTCATGTTGCCCTGAATAAGTGAAGAGAAGGGGGGAAAATGTGAGGGAGGATTGGGGAGGAAGAGAAACAGAGCCAAGTGACCAGCAGCTCTAGCTCCGGGAAATCTTCTGTAGTAATTTGGGACAGCCTTGGCAGTGCTGAAATCTTTCAACCCCAATAGACCACTGCCTTCCCAGTCTGAGGCACAGGTCAAGCATATTTCCCGCTCGTTTAACTTCATGGATGGCTTGACTATGGAGAAACCGACAAGACTGGGTCATTCAGGGGAAACTCTGCCACCTCAGAATTCTCATGGAGAGTGATTTGCATAAAAGACCATCAGCCCCAGTCACAATCCACATATAATGTGTACATGCTTCCAGAAGGAGGCTGAGCTAAGCACTTCCACAGAACGACCCAAACCAATAATGTATTGTACAGCCAATGCATTTGACACAGATTTGACCTTTATCTCGAGTCATAGTCCAACACTGGATCACACCATGTTGTGTGCCATGCAAAACAATGATCATCACAGAATCCTTGCTCTAACTAACAAATACAGAATTTAATCTTCAACAAGAATTACCATATTGTTAATATTTGTACAGGCAATGCAAGATGCCTTCTACCATAAGCCCCGTGACCACCGCTAACAATTTCTATACCTGCCAGTTCGTTTTTCTTCCTCAAATAGGAGATGCCATTCTAAGACTAAAGACTGAACAGGTTAAGACACATCCACAGACTGTCTAATTGATTGGCCTTTAATAGACTGCCTCACTCCACCCTCTAAAATACTGGACTTTGGGGTGGCAACTGGAATAAATCCAAACTATACATATAGAACCCAAACCACCCAATTACACTTCTGCCTGACATATATGTTAGAGCAGACATGAGCAAACTTCAGCCCTCTGGGTGTTTTGGACATCAACTCCCACAATTCCTAACTACTTACCAGCTGTTAGGAATTGTGGAGCTGAAATCCAAAACACCTGGAGGGCCACAGTTTGCCCATACCTGTGCTAAAGTCTCTGCCAAATCCATCTTTCTGGGGAGCTCATTTAGGAGTAAAAGTGAGGGGCTCTTTATCACCAATTCTTCCAGAACTCACATATAAGAAAAAGCGACAATGTTATCTGAGGAAAGAGAAGCCAATTCCAACATACCTCCCTTTGCAACTGGCTCCAGCAGTGTAACCAGGAGCTGTAAGCTGGCGCATAAGGGGGTAGACCACCAGCAAGCCTGGAAAATAGCAGAGAAAGAGAATGTGTTAAAATGGCTTATCAGTAACATCCCATTTGAATAGCATCCCAGCCCTTTCAATGATGGGGTCTAGCAGTCTTTCATAATCAATGATAAAACTGGGCCCTCAAACAAATAATAGCCATTTGATGCCCATCTGATGAGTGAATTCTTTGTAACTGGATAAATGGGGCTCCTAGATTGGGGTGCACCCTCTCCAGAGTGAGACTAACAGAAGATGGACTCTCAAGGTTTATATAGTGCAGAAACCAATAAAGAATATTAAAGTGCACAAGCACGGACCATTCCACTCATCCACATAGCTACGAGAACTGTATGAGCAGGTTAGCAACAGAGGAAAATTCACTCCCTTGGTCCACTCCCAGCTATTATGTCTTTTCATAGCCTCAAACTTGCAAACAAGATCACAAATATATGGTAAACTGGCTACTTCATGCTATTGGACAGCTGTTACCATTTGGCTGTGATAAAAAGGACTCCCAAAACCACCAACTAATTGCATGGTTTCTGTTTTTTAGAGGGGAATTTACTGTATATACTTTAGAGTACACAATAGTGTATAAAGATTTACTGGATTTGCAGTTCTCAATAAAGTTCCAATGCAACAGACAGAATCTTATGAATCTGCATTTTGAGAACTCTTGAGCTGCTTTTCTACCCACAACTATTTTGGATATGGGCAGGGCACATGAAAGGAATGGCTCTTCAACCACTGAAATTTTAAATTAAAACCTTGAGAGTTATTCTAAGAAACTTTCCAATTACCACCTAGAGAAAACCGTGCAAGCTTTATTTTCTAGCTAGCGGGCAGCTGTACCAACACTCCCAAGAGCAGCTGCTGAAAAATGTCAAGATGCAGCACATTCTAAAAATCTCAATCTTATAAAAGGAACTGAAAAACAAAGACCAATTC